GAGAGAGAGAGAGAGAGAGAGAGAGAGAGAGAGATACGCACACAGTAAGAAAGATTATAATCCGCAAAATCAATATGATGAGAGGAAAAAGAGAAAGGAGAATGACAGAAGGGAGAAAAATAAATAGGGAGAGAAAGACTTTGATTTGTACTGGAACACCAATACCCAAAGCTAATCCCATAATTCATTGTTTGTTCTCGTACGTGTTTTACGGCGCTCGCAACTGCATAAGATCATATGAGAGAGCGGGACACATTAAACATTTTCAGTTTGGTTTGAATAAATGTTGAATTTTGCCCAGGCGGCGGCCGAAGCCTACTCTTATCGATTTTGGAAAAACCAACGGCTTTTTAAAGTGCGCAACATTCACATGGGAGGCCCGAGATTTTTGGTCATTACCCGAGAAGGTTAGGTGTTAGATCTTACATACTCTGAGATCAGGGGTGTGGCTGAAAGACGGCAGTAATATGAGCCAAGGAGTAACAGTAGAAATCCTGCAGAAAGAGTCAGGAGCCCAGAGGAGGGGGCAAAGCGGGGTGGACAGAGGAGGTAGAAATTGAAGATGAAAGCAGACGACAGAGCATGGTTAGAGAGTAGGAAAGGAGGTGAAAGGAGAACATTTTAGAGAAGAAAATTTTCCGTCACTGACAGATTTCGAACCCGGGACCTTTGAATGAGGGGTGAACACTGTAACTTCTAGATCACGAGATCCCCCCTCCCCCCTTCCGCCTTACAACACAAGCTAATCCAAGGGTTTAGGAAATTAAAGAAGCTTAATGTTCAGGCCAGAAAAGGGAATTACATTGCTGAACCGATAAAACTGGACGTTTGAACTTTTCCCGGCATGTGGTGTTAAGTCATCTCCTAATGTGGTGTTGAATCATCTCCTAATGAGGTTTTGAATCATCTCCTAATGAGGTGTTGAATCATCTCCTAATGAGGTGTTGAATCATGTCCTAATGAGGTGTTGAATCATCTCCTAATGAGGTGTTGAATCATCTCCTAATGAGGTGTTGAATCATCTCCTAATGTGGTGTTGAATCATGTCCTAATGTGGTGTTGAATCATTAAAAATTTCCTAATGAGGTGTCGAATCATCTCCTAATTAGAATCTAGTTGTCTTTCCCTGGAAAACAGTATCAACGACCGCTCTGTTCTTGCAAAGTCATTCATTCATCCAGTGCCAGATCTGCAACAGACATCGGCGATCCTGGTTCTCCATTCATTCCTTTGCTCGGATGCTCTCAAAAAAGCTACGTTTCCCTGATCT